AAGGGAACAAAATGTAATTTGAACTACTACATTTCTCCCCATTCAATTCCTGCTCATTAAGTCTTATATTTAGAGTATTAGCTCCCATTCTTTCATAAGTGTGACAAAGAATAATTAATATTATTGATGATATAAACAAAATATTAATTTAAAAACAACCCAAAATGGATTTTTTTTTTGTTTGGTGGAGAATCAACAATACAAACACTTGAGTCAAATGTGCCAACCATTGGTGTAATAATAATAATAATAATAATAATAATAATAATCAGGGAAGCAAACATATCAGATCGTATTTGAATCCAATTTGACATGTTCATGTTAGATCCGATCTAGTCTGATAGGATTGAATTCAAATCCTACCGGTAAGTCGGATCTTCAGATTTGATTTGATTTGACTTGTTTTCTTTAAAAATTAATAAATTATTAAAATAAAAATAAAATATACTAATTTAAATAAAGTAAAAACAAGAAAGACAAGTGTTTTTAATTATTTTCATCATATATATATACATACATGTTTTCGTAAAAAAAAATAATATAACAAAATTATAAAAATATAATATAAAACATATTTATAAATAAATAAATAACATAGATATGTGTATTATATAAATATATATTTATATTTATAAATATATAATATATTGGACCGGATCATGATCCGATTCATTTGCTCCCCTAATAATAATAATAATAATAATAATAATAATAATAATAATAATAATAACACACACAAAATTATAAAACATACAAAAAATTTGGTAGAAAACATCTCTAATATTGTATATTAATCATATTAAACAAAAAAATAAGTGTGACAAATAAGAATAATTTTTATAGGCATAGAAATATAAAAAATATTATAGAAAATTTTAAAAACACATTATTTACTATCATCATAAAAAATTGCCACGTGCAAAAGCACTTGCACAATTACTAGTTAAAATAAGAAAAGTAGGATAATATTAGTACATTTAAATGCAAATGACAACTGAAAGTTAAAAAACACAGTGAAAATATTGTCCAATGAAATTAACTATTTTTATGCATAATTATGTATAATAGTTTTGCCTTAAGACATCATATGACTTATTGAATAAGTAATAATGAAAATAGAAAAAATATTTTATTTTATATTTCAACTACCTAACAATGGAAGAATAGAAAGCATTAATATTAAAATAGTAATGACTTATTTGACTTGTGCCATGATCTAACATAATGAAAATTATTATAATATAAAAGAGGGAAATGCTAAAATTAATAAAAGCAAAAAAAATTATAAAAGCAAGAGTTAAAAATGATTCTTGCATATTTTTATTCAAAATAAATAATAAGCATATTATGGTTCTACAATTTGAGTTAACCTAGATTAATAGTGATAAAAGTAATAATAAAGTTGAATCAAACATTCTTGCTAAAAATAATATCTATGAAAGTATGGGAGATCAACTATTCAATTAGTGGTTAAAGAGATGCCTCGAATTGTTTTTTAAATCAATTCTCATGTGTTATCCAAACAATTGGAATGAAAGGCTGGGTGGAGGAGAGCTTGATTCAATTAATTCTAATCATTCTGCTTGGTCTTCACATGGCAACAACATTCCCTACAAACAAAAATTCTACGTACACTCCAGAAGCATGGGAATCCAGCCGCACAATGGAAACATCTCCCCATGAATATTACATGTACAAGAGATATTTCTAATGTGCGGCTAGATGCAATGTGAGCAAAGATTTTGCTTGTATGAGATCCAGATTCCTTTCACATGGTGATACGTTCTTCAATTGTCTTCCTTCCCTAAAAGAGGATGAACAAAGGAGGAGTTTGAGCCAATTAGAATTAGGTTATGTTTAGATAARCGTGTGATTTTGTGTTTTTTGGAGCACAAAAGCCAGAAGTATGTTTGCATAAACTTATGATTTGGAGTGGTTACTTTATTATGTGCGACATATAAATTTCACATGTTAATTTGTTATTTATTGAAATTTATAATATAAAAATGTCACATGACCCATAATTGTGCCATGTGGTATAAATTAAATCCACATGACATATATTTCACATTTGTGGACATCAAATTTGGTATATATACATATGGTATGTATTTTGCCATAATCAAAAATTTTCCACGCAGTATATATTATGCCACATGGTATATATTGTAATATATCTTGACATATGTTGCAAATTTTGCCACATGGTAAATGTCATATATTTTGCCATATTCATACAATTTTGCCGCATGTCATACATTTGCACCTTATGCATTTTCTGTGAAAAGTACATTTTACCCAAATGTGCTTTGGAAGCACAAAGTGAAAAAACAAACTTCATGTTTTTTGCTGCACAAGTGTTTCTACTTAGGATGTTTTTACTCTAAAAAATACACATTACCAATTGTTGAAGCTTTTTTTTTCTATTCAAACACAAAAGTAGTTTAAAAAAACTTATCCAAACATAACCTTAGTGTCTCTATTTTACATAAATGTGTGGCATGCACGTATACAAGATCTACCATATTTTAATTAGGCTTCATTTAGCATTCCTTATTTTAAGGACTTATCTACTTTTTATAGTTAAAATGCCCGAACACTGAGTTTTTAACTACAAAAAATAAGATAAATCCTTAAAACAAGAAAAACCAAATCCAGACTTAATAGTTTCTAAAGTGTTTATTCGACCATAAGTTTATTCAATATCTTTTATAACTCTTCAAGAAATATTCTACATATTTTTTATAAAATGACAAATTGGGACATTTTCTATGAAACTATATATACATCACAAATGTATTTATACTTATATGCAATATAGCTTGGGTACCAAATAGGTCGGTACAAGTAAACCCAATTCCAACTCTAATATATGCGGAACTTAAAATGCTGACCTAATTAAACCCAACCTTATTCATATTTATCCAAAAAAAACTTATTTGTCATATTTATATAAATTTGACACATGCCACATATCTTATATTTATGGGATCGTGGCATATATTATGCCACATGTTATATTTATGTATATCATGACACATAGTTGTGCCATGTGTTACAAACTTTGTCATGAAACAATATGCATTTGCACCTTTTAGGCTCAGTTTGAAAATGGTGCAAATGTAATACATACAAAATATAAGATTTTGTATTCTATATATTTGTATTTACACTCTTCCAAACTGAGATTTAATTTGGAAAGGGGTATAAATACAAATATATACAGTGTAAATATATATAAAATAATACAAAATATAAATTTGTATTTGTACTCCTTTCAAAGTTAGCTTTTATATGTTTTTTTTTTTGTGAAAAGTATAATTTACCCAAATGTGCTTTTCGAAGCACAAAGTGAAAAAAAAAGACTTCATGCTTTTTTGTTGCACAAGTGTTTTTACTCTAAAAAATTAGGGTAATGATTGGATCGGATTTAGAAAAACCCGAATCCAATCTGATTATTATTTGGATTTGAAGACATCAAATTCGAATTCAATTTCTAATAAACTCTTGTCAGATTTGGATTTAATCTGACTCCACTTTATTTTTTTTAAATATAAAATAATAAAAAATTAATTACTTTTCAACTTTTATATATAATAAATTAATGTACATATAACACGCCATACTAAATTTATTATATATATTGATATATAATATGATATATAAAGATATACCTTTTATATTTTTAAATGTAATTATATAAAACACATATTAAATTCAATAAATATTATAATATAATCAGGTTCAGATTTTAATCTGATTGGAGAATCAACAGTAAATCTATTAGTATTAGCCGCATGGATCTTTTTGCACTTTTACCCTAAGTTGTCACATGGCACCCTAATAGATATATATTTTGGTTTCGGCGCAATCATCTCAGATTTTCAATGCCTTTCCAATGAAATTGGATTTGATTCTCACAAGACCGTGTTTACATCGGTCATACTATCCCTTGCAGTCTTGTATTGGGAATATTTCCTCATGAAAAAAAAAGCATACAATTTAGAGATATTTTCAATACATTGCAAAAGGCTGTGCAAATGGTGTGAGCCCAATCTTGTGAGCACTGAAGCCTATCTTCTTTCCAATCTTCTTTCTTCTCTCTTCGGTATCTTCTCTTCTCTTTTTTCTCTTATCTTTTTAATCTGATTACATGATATTAAAGCACCATTTCTGGTAGGGGTGTTCATGATTCGGTTAATTGAGCCGTGGAACATATTTTATAATCGAACCAGTAGTACTGGTTTTGGAAAACCGATAACCGAAACCAAACGAAAACTTATCGGTTAACTAGTTGATCGGTTTGTCGGTCTTTCAGTTTTTTAATTTTTACAATATATATTATAAAAATATAATAAATATTATATATATAAAATATATAGAAATATATGTATACTGATTGATTCGATTAACCACCGATTTTTTGTATTAGTTAACTGAAATCGAAATGATATGTTCAGTTTTTTAAAAACACTAAACTAAAACCGAATCAACCAGTTCGGTTAACCGATTTTTCGGTTGTTTTGCTCACCCCTAATTTCTGGGGGCTAAAATCATTCAGATCGTGTTTTTTCTCCCCGGAACCTACATTTAATAACTGGAGTTGAGGAGAATCTTCAATCGGCCTGGTCTGAGAGATTCTTTTCCTTCTCAGTTCCTTTTTTATCTCCGTCAGAGTGAGCTTGGGTTACTGACAGTTTGTGTTAATAAAGAGACAGGGCCCAGTCCGGCCCGACTTTTGAACGGGTCTATTCTTAAACACGTGGCCGTTCTAAAATTGTTTTATACATGCGAACGAACGGTCATGATCGACCACAGGATTCCTGCATGCGTGCGAGTTGCGACACAAATTGAAGACTAAATCAGCCCCCCACAACGTAGGTGGTTCGTCTGGTGCGTTTTCCTAAATCCTAATTGGGGCAATTAGGATCGGGTGAAGCCGTAAGGCTATGTTTGGTTTGTTAAAAAAATAAGAACCTTTCTACCAAGCCAAACAGAGTCTAAAGAGAAATTTTGATCATATTTGTTTCAGGGCCTTGGGTTGGGGAAGTCGGGCGATTCTTCCAGAAAAGTAGCAAAAAAGGGAGCGAGCGCAAAGGAGAGTTGCAGAGAATTGCGCAGCCATGGCTTCGTCCATGTTGCAATCTTTCTTGAATCCATCAAAGAATTGGTTCGCTGCTCAACACATGAAATCCCTCTCGAAACGGCTCAGGAAATACGGTTAGGGTTTCTTTTTCTTTTCTTATTCGGATCTCTGTTTATATTTGCAACTCTTATCTTCTCAGTGTGATCGAATTAATCTTTTTCTGTATTATATAGGGCTTCGATACGATGACCTCTATGACCCGATGTACGATCTGGACATCAAAGAAGCTCTGGCTCGCCTTCCTCGCGAGATCGTTGACGCGAGGAACCAGCGTCTCAAGCGCGCCATGGACCTCTCGTTGAAGCACGAGTACCTTCCCGAAGATTTGCAGGTTTTTTCTCTTTTCTTTTGTGCTAAGTTCCTGGTTCCTGATTTTGTTATTTCAGCTTTAGTTGTTTCTATTTTAATTTCCTAGCTTCTTTGCTTCAAGTGAATTTTTGGTTTAGTCCTACCGAGTCTATTTCTTTCCTTGGTTCTATTCGAAATTTATGATTCAGTCGCGGCTGTAAACTGAAGCTTCTTTTTTACTTGCCATTTGAGAATCGAAGTAAGGTAGAAAAAAATGTAGTTATCATCTATATTTTATGCTTATGGGGAATTTTAGAGCGGAAGGATGGAACAGAGACATTGTACTCGGAATACTAGCTATGGAATATAATTAAGAATAAATTCAAAGTGTATAGATGCAACATGATGTGAATCAAGAGAGATTTTATACATTTTCACAGGTGGGAAGCTGTGGATCAGTTATATCAATCCTAATTATAGATTTTACTTGCATTGCATATTTCTTCGCATTATGCTTTTCATTTTTTCTCCTACAAAAGGACAAAATAAAACAAAACCTCATGAAATGCTAAATCTTCGTTTTGTTTATTTTACAACAGTTTCTGAATGCTGTTTCTTATGTTCCATTAAAATGCCTATTTCTTTACAAATGTTCTCAAATACGACCTGGAAAGTGAAATGTGTGTATTTCAAATATTGCAGTACTGACTACGACCTGAAAGCATCTCCTACAACCAAAGGATATGTCTGTCATCATTAATGCTTTTCATAAACATAATTCTCTAAACGTGTTATGATAAGGCTTCTGCCAGCCCCTGCCCCACCCCCACTACATCCTTAAAATTAGAAAAAAATAGATACAAGCTCATTAAACATTTTTTTATCACTAACAAGCTCTTCTTTATTGGTGATGAAATGAGAAAATTCCTGTACATTAGAAACACCGGATCCATCTTAAAACATAAACAGCATACTGCTAGGATAAACAAAACTGAAAAAATGCAAGGTGCCAACCAGCTGATTGGTAAGGTCTCTTGCTGGTCGTAGTGGAGACTTGGGATTGAATCCCGCCTGCACCTAGGTTGGGGAATGGGCTACCCCCATTGTGTAGCCCTTCAGAAGATATAAAAAAAAAACAAAATAGAGAAAACAATACCACCTCTGGCTAGCTGGTATTATCTGGAATTGTTTTAATAAAATGCCAATTCTATTGTTATGTGGAGCTTAAACTTCCGCCTTTTCATTTGCTCTTCTCAGTTGAGGTTTCTGTTTAGTTAGCAGTCATGGTGATGGAATGAACTCAATTGACTTACACTGCATATGAGTTGATAGTACTAGGGGTGCTCACAGTTCCATTAACCGAACCATGGGCCTTTTTTTGTAACCAGACCGGTACTACCGGTTTTTGGAAAACCGGTAATTGAAACCGAACCGAAGCCAATCGGTTAACCGTTGGTTTGTTTTGTTGGTTTTCTAATTTTTACAATATATTATAAAATATATAAATATATAATAAAAGATTATAAATTTATATAAAATATTATATTTTAAATAATAAATAATATATCATATATTATAAATATATATATATATATTTATGTATATAATGCACATTTATTAATTTATAATATATAAAAATATATAGAAAATATATAGAAAAATATGTATACCGGTCGGTTTGGTTAACTGATTTTTCGGTTTTTTTGCTCACCCCTAGATGGTACCATCTTCAACCATCTATTTTGTTCAGCTATGCAAGTTTTCAGCTATGTTTTCCTTCAATACCATGAGGTGCCAACTGCAAAAATGTTGCAGAATGAATCTTTGGCAGCATTTTTATCTATGCTATATTGTTATGCACTTGTGCTTGTGCTTGTCCATTTCAGTTGCTATTGTAGTAAAAATAAACAAAAGAAAAGAGAAGAAATATTCTTTGTGGAACCATTTGCATCTGATGTTAATACCTGTTTCCTTCTGTTGTTACAGGCAATGCAGACACCATTTAGGAGCTACCTTCAGGATATGCTGGCGCTTGTAAGTTATCCTTACTAAATGCTTTAACTTTTAAATGATTGCATTTTATCTTTCAGGTGTATGCCCTGTTAAGTTTTCCATGTTAATGACCATATTTATTTTCGTTTTCAAGTTTTCATTGTGGATTTTAGATATCCTTATATTTCTGGTTATAATTATAATGTTAAATCATGTCCATTTCCAAGGTAAAAAAATTAGTATAACTTTTTTTTTTATCAATAACACTTTCATTAATTCATCAAAGAAGATTTACAAAAGGAAGACAAACGCGCTTATCTTCCAAGAGCAACAAAGAATCTCAAGAAAAAGGAAAAAAGAAAGAGAAAAGAAAGAAGACACACTAAAGTTACAGCTTGGCCCAAAAAAGTGAATCCCTTTTTGCCCCTTGTTTAGCTAAACCGTCAGCTAGGGAATTAGCCGATTTTTTAACCCAACGTGTCTTAACCTCCATCTCCCGCACCAGCCACTTGAATTCCTCCTCTCATTATTGTACTTCCATAAGCCATTGTGATCTTTAAGCAGCCACCCTATCACCACCTCTGAATCCCCTTCAATTAAGAGTTTCTTGATGTTCAACTCCTTAGCTTTTTGGACTCCTTCCATAACTGCAAAGATCTCAGCTCTAAGGGAGTCACCCAC